GAAAATTTAGAATATGCAAAATTTGGTTGTTGGTGACACAATAAATAGATGAATTGCATGCTCAGTTTCACAAGGCACGTTTCTGATGTGTTAGGCTTGCTTCAAACGTCACGCTACTCGTGTGCAATAAAGCAATAAATAATGAGATGAAATGCCTTTGGTAACTGTTTATTTCGTAGAGGGCCCTGAAGGGGTAAAATGGGAACTGGGATTGATCTATTTTTAGACTGGGAAAATGGGATTTGGGTTGCTGGGACTGGGATTTGGCCACTGGGAATGGGAAATGAAGTCCTCAAAAATGGGAATGGGATTGAGGTAATGCGAGTCTATTCCCAATTTTTCTGCGTTTTGAGTATTTTAAAATACAATTTTGATCCGTTTTTTCACAGCACTACCTGCGAACAGGCATACTCTGGCGCCCGGAATTCTGGGTTTTCTGAGTATGCGTGTCTCAAGCCCAGGTCACACTACACAACGATAACGATACGATAACTTGTATACGCGCGCTGATTGGTCAAAAATTTATCGTTATTGTCCGACTGAAAAAAAAAATCGCTCAGGTGAACGATTTTAAAATCGTTATCGTTATCGTCTAACGATAATTTTATCATTTATCGCGTGTTTACAATTTATCGTATCGTTATCATTCTGTAGTGTGACCGGGCCTTCAGAATGCTGCAAATGCCATTTCCGGGATTCAAATTTAAAAATCTTCCGTGCCTTCGGCACGAGCAGCCCCCGCCCTCATATTTCATAAAGTGTCCGCCACTTGCTTAAAAGGTCTTAAAACTGTTTATTCTACCGATAAATGAAGGGTTTTTTATTGACTGGGATTTCAATAACTGGGACTGGGATTTCTAATAAAAATCCAACTGGGACTGGGATTTTGCCAAAATTTCAGGTGGGAAATGGGATTGGGACCCCCCCTTCAGGACCCTCTTCGTAGTGTAAGCCATCAAGCTTTTCTAGGTTGTCGGCGACCCTATATAGTTCTTGCAGTGTCTTTTTAAATTTGAAACTTCACACTATCCTTGGATCCCTAGTTTGTATCTCTTCTTTGTTCGAATTGTTGTCATCGACGTTGGGTGAACAACAGAAGATTTCATTCAGAGCTACTTTACAAAATATTTAAATTTGAGCTTTTCAGCGTCGGCTTCGGCTGAAATAAAGAACAATCTTGATGGTTTAAAGACGGCACGTCCAGAAACTTTGTTTTATCTTTTAGACTGTCGCGTGATTACCGTCAAGTTTATTCTTTCATACTATTTGTTGTTAATTACCACTAACTTTTTAAAAACATTTTGAATCAGGAATTTGTAAAATAAAACAAATTGTCAAACGTCAGAATCTACGCTCGTTATAATATTTGTTTACAACAATTTCCGTACTTTAACTACAACTGCCGATGTGAATGCCGAAGGGTGCCGAAGTAATTGCCGAAGGAATTTAAGGGGATTTCATTGCGTTCCTCGGCAAAAAAAATGCCGAGGCATTGCCGAGGCAAACTCGAAAATTATCGAAAGACTTCGGCAATTATTTGCCGAGGCAAAAGTAGTTGAATTTCGAGGATTGGCTTTCTAAGTTTGTATAACCCTGATTAAGCTTCAGTATGTATGATTTAAAGTTTCTTTTTATTAATTGTGAGGTCCATATGGGTAGCGTGATAGCCTTTCAGGAAGGTTGAAAAAATCACTATCCGGTGGATAGGCTATCGGGCATGCATGAGCATGGGCGTACCGGGCGGGGGGGGGGGGGCCCCCCAGTTTGTTGGGCAAACAAGCCAGTCGGGCAATATTCGCTCCACAGTCGGGCAATAATGGCTTATTATAAAAATAAATGGGACAAATTCTGTCAATTTTGTGGCCAATTTTGTGATGTATGGAAAATTTGTATGATGTTCCGAAAAATTTAGGTGTGTCCGAAAAAATTTTGGACCCTAAAATGGACTGACCGAAATTTTTTTGGCGACAGGGGGGGGGGTGGGTGGCCAAAATTAACTTGTTCCGGAAAAAAAATTTTCGGCACTGGTCGGGCACAATCCGAAAAAGTCGGGCAAATTTATTTCCGCCCCCCTAATTTTTTCCTTCCGGTACACCCATGTGCATGAGCAAGGTCATTGACGTTTTGACAGAAATCTGTCGTATCATTCACGTTTTACGGGAACTACTGAGTATTTTGATAAAATACAAAACAATAGATACTCCGAAAATTTAAAGCATTTTCAAAATGCTTTCAATTTTCGGAGTATCTATTGTTTTGTATTCACGTTTTATACCTTTAGTATTACACAGGTATCAGAAAAAGAGGATATTAACAGATTGATAATTTTCCTTTTTAGGGATTTAAAACGCGATGTTGCAAAGAAATTGGAGAAATTAGAAAGACGCACACAAAGAGCTATTGTTGAATTAATACGTAAGTATTCTGTAGAATTCATGAAGTTAGGTTCGAAGAGTTTATGTTTTGATTATGAGAACCTCTGAGTATTTTCATAAAATACACAATTTTCGTTGTTTCACTAAAGGCCCATCTACACGATACGACTAGTCGTATACGATTCTTATCCTGGCGTATGAAAACGATTGCTGACGCCACTATTCCTGTTCACCAGTTTATTATTATTATTGTTATTATTATTGACTTTATTGACACTCCCCTAAAGGGGCTTTTCAGTGACAAAAATATATATACATATCAATTAATTACTATAATTATACATCAGATCCTAAATTCATATAATAAGATCACGCAATTACTTTATACACAAACACAACATCAAATTCTTGACAACAAGATTAACAACAGCAACGTACATCAACATCATCAACAACGACAGCAAAAACAACAACAACAACAACAACATCAACGACAATAACAACGACAACAGAAAAACATGCCCTTAGGCTAACTATCTAGAAATTGCTTATGTTAAATTATCTAGAATTCTAACTATCTAGAAATTGCTTACAGTTTATGGCGAAGTTTGAAATGTGACATCTTTACACGCATATATTCGAGTACATACGCCAGGATAAGAATCGTATACGACTAATCGTATCGTGTAGATGGGCCTTAATGTAATGTTGGATATTTAATTTCGCCCTTCGTTGTTTTACCAAATTACATGCGTAGTAATTACGTACATTTTACGTAGAAAAAGTTTTTGTAGATGGAATTTCGTGCGGACGTTCTTGTGGTAAAAGCTCGACAACTGGCCTCTGTAAAGCTCAGTTGGTTAGCGCGCTGCCGACCTTAGAGCAACCTTGTACCCAGCGTAGTGGAAAGAGCCTGGGTACGAGGTTGACCTTAGAGCAGTATAATTATTTTTGCAACACTTGCTTCTAGAGCTGCAGATTATGAAACAAAACTCGAAATAAAACTTGTATTTTTGTGTATATTTTCAGGTTCTCGCCTTCAAGGTGAAGAAAATCTTGCAGATGTTGTCAATGCTGGAGCTACAGAACAAGGATTTGATGCTGAATAGCGTTTGACTAGTCGTACTGCACAGTTCACGCAGATGTACAATTAAGAAATGAACTATGTGTTATAAAATGTTTTGGGTGCTTTAGAGTTGGGATAAAACTGGAGAACTGAAACGGGATAAAAAAACCAGGATAAAACTGGAGAAAACAAGGTGTGAAAATGGCGTGGTTCACCTACGTAAGCGTCTGGTCTAGTTGTGCTTTGCTACAGATTACATCACGGCATATTGAGATCATGAATTTACAGTAAATTTCCTAATTTTACGACCGATATTGGGTTGAAAACATTTCCTTGGTGTGGACCATAGGGCATAGGTGCAGACTTTTTGTGACTTTGGTTGTTGATCATTGAAGACTGTTTTATTACCGCTGTCATTCTTTCCTTAGTCAAAACATTGCATATTCTCAACTGAATACAACTGCTTATCTAAAACTGCATGTACCCTATATTTCTATGATGTGCGATATCCTAACAAACATACTAACAAATATATGTAAGTGTAGCTATGTGGTAAATGTTAAAGCAATTCGCGAAATTGTATTTTAGTTAGTGTAAATAAAAAATATTCCATCAACATTTTCGCGTGTAATATCCATTACCACATGGGTTGCCACTCAGTGTACGATAAGACGCGTACTTACGTACCGGAGGTACGCCAATAATAGGGAGTTTAAGCTTCGCGTTCAAACGTCAAATGGCAAACGCCAGGGGAAGAAAAAATTTACGCGACAAGGTAATAAACAGGAAATCAACTTGCTATTTTAAGACTGTAATGTATGATGATTCTTTTGAGATAAGAACGAGAAGATGATGCGAAGAAGTTAAGCAAAAATTCTGCCAACAAAATTCGACTATGCCGTTTGCCGTTCCCGCAAACGTGAAGCTTAAACTCCCTTTTGTGGTCTGGTACTGTACTTCTTTGTTTTCTATAATTCTTGCTGTCTGCGTACTTACTTTTTGCTAGTACTATACATGGCCTTTCCAAGCCCAAAATATTCAAAACCTTAACTTGGTCGGTGTATGTGTAAGTCTGACATGTCTTGGCCTGAAACATGACTGGACTATTGGAGTCAATTGTAGTGTTTGTATATGCAACTGTGCTCCTTGTTCGTTTGAATGCCTTCTAGAAACCTGTACTTTATGTACTTTGTAAACTTTAAAGACCAGGTAGACATTCATGAGTATTGAGTTTGTGCAAGTTACCAGTCAGATACGGCTAAAATGTTGTCCCACCCTGCATTCTCTCTTTCTCATTGTGTTTTTCACGATAGTTCTGTATTAGCACCTTCTCTGCATGTGGCCTTGTCAATTGCGATGTGGTTGTTGTGAGCCTTGACTTGAAACAGTATATCTTGGAAAAAATAATGTTTATTTTATTTTAGTTAATATATTAATTTATTCACAAATCATATACCATACTATACGGTACAAGCTATATAATACTGTAGAAAATCAAATTTTGTACATCCTTTGACATAAAATCCTGGCACTTGATAGTTGTTCTTCGACCTCCTGACCAATACGTCTGTGCATACTATACCCTACCATACCTGCATTATACAGCGATTTAATAGTTGTTCGTCGACCTCCAAAAGCTCGATTTTTTAAATTATATTAACCTAATACACTTGCACACAACGATTAAGCAGCTGTTCTTCGACTTCTTCTTGAATTGTGTTGGTTCGTATTCGTCCGTTTACTATGACCAAATTCCTGCGACTTCCTTGAGCGTAGATAGTTGCAGTAGGTTTAAACGGATATTCACCGCCAATCTCGGGACTTGGTTTAGGAATAGTTGGTGAAGGAGAACATACACTTCGTGGTAATCTGGCTTGCCTTTTCCCAGGTATTGATTCTTGTTGAGACAACGTGGATTGTGATCTTCCTGTGAGGAGAAAGTAATTAGAATGTTTAGCGGGTTAAACACATCTAGAGATAGATTTTGACAACACGTAGACCAACTGGAATCAATCCAGCCGTTATTGTGGGCGTCAGCATTTCTTGCTTGAAATGAAGAACGTCAGTCAAATAGTTTCATGTTCGTGATTTCAAATAAGAATGTATAACGGCTCGGTTGATTTCTGGCTGCCGTACGTATTGTCAAGAACGTCGTTTGCTTAAGGTGGCTCCCTACAGTTAGTACAGTTTAAATACGATTTATATAGATCAGACTTCATCCTCGCGACCTGCGCGTGGAATCGTCGTGTTTAGTGTTCGGCAAAAATATTGAAACAAGCCGTGGGAAGTTTTTTGGCGTTTTTATCTACAAAGAAAGCCCCAGTTTTTCATTATAATCCTATTTTTTTCTGAATTCGAACAGTACGTATGTTATTAACTAGTTTAACATATCTTTTAGTGTGTTTTTACGTATTTACGTTCAGTATTGTCTTTCATATTGCTCAAAATTTTCAACTTGTTGTTTTGCGAGCTGTCAAACTGAAATGATACTGTCTTCTATTAACTCTTGAACAGTAGTGAACTGTTGCCGAAACTTATATAAGTTCTGTCAATCAATTCAATTCACAGGTATCGTTTTATCTGCTAAATCAAATAAAACAGTTATGAGTTGTTTTATATGAAAAGTTAAACTTGTAGTTCGATGTTTTGAACACCGATTTTAACAACAAAAACAAATGTAAACTAACACTGGATTTAATACAATGCCTATAATAGTGTTTTGTATTAGTATTTTCAAGATTAATATTTTATTTTCATATCAAACAAGTCAGAAATATCTGTTTTCTTATGTATTGTAAGCCAAAAAGTTGAAATCACTATAAATCACACGTTACAATTTACACGCATGCGCAGATTGTGCTCATGTCGAGTCGATTTTTTTTCATGCTGGCCACGCCGATTTTAGCGATGATTTTCTCGTGTTTTCTTCGGTGAAACTTTTTTAAACTTTGTATTTTTGTTATACAAGACGAGTGGTACAACATATCCAAATTTTAAGAAATTCTACAAATAACTTTTTCTGTAACCGTCATTCACGAATATCTCGAAAACTTATTTGTAAATTCCCTTCAAATTTTGATATGTTTTTCCTTTATGGACCATAAATCTTAAAAAAAAATTTCAGAAAAATTCACTGAAGGAAAATATAGATATTGTCAATTTATTGTGAAATTAGACAATAAAAGTGCAAAAGATTAATGGATAGCACACTGCTTCTGAACTTTCCTGGAAATGATCATATTGCCTTGTCTTAAGTGTATCTAATATAAATTCGGTTCAAAGCGAACGATACTCAAAATACCTAGAATTTTAGAGAACTGTAGGGAGCCACCTTAAGCTCTATTATAATCAAAGGTTAACGGTAGATGCACTTTATGTAGGCCGAGTTCCGTTGTGGAGAGTCCATAAGTTGAGGGGTTCCACTTTGCATCCTTAGCTCCGGCCTCTGGTTTGACATTCCGCTTGGGGGGTTTTTCAATTACAACAAGCGAGGTATATATAGACTGCATTTTCCCACCGACTCATTATCGCGGAGGTACGCCTTGTCTGGTGAACTTCTTTTGCCGCTATTAAGTACTGTTGCTATTTAGTTTCAATGGCAACAAATTAAAGTATAGTGAAATAGTAATCGATTACTTAAGACATCCTCATCCCCCCAAAGTCCATACTGCTTACCGTATATCGTTCGTTGTGTCCCAGGTCGACTTATAACACACGAATAGGTTTGTTCCTGCTTAACAGGTGCCATTCCTGGAACCATAGATCCAGGTTTTCTCTCACATCGCCTCTTCTCAATATCTTTTATCATTCTACCCATTAAGACTTCCTTGTATGCATTCCACCTGGTTGTATCCAGATAACAATCGAGAAGAGCCTCGTCACTAGGGTAGGCTTTTACGCGTTTCTGGATTTTCTGGATGGTTTTGTAATCAGCATGTTTCCTCACACTTTCAACAGGTATTGAGATGATAAAACAACCTTTGCTTACCAAGTATAAATGTCTTTTGTCAGTGTTTGAACCCAGTAACCTATCTTCATCTGTGCGTACGACTCCTTGAAGACCCTGGTTAAAATGTGGGTTAATTCTTATTAATTATTCCTTGTCCTTTTTTACAGTATTCGGAGAGCACTCGGAGACTGCATACCTCCGCCGGCAAATTAATTCAAATATGGTAAATTACACAGTCATGCACTAATTACGCATTCAGTTCATTTCAGCCCAATCTCGTACCCAGAGTATACCTGTTCTCAGGTCAGATATGTATACGATCATGCCCACCATTTAACTTGCGAACGTACATACACAGTGGAAAGTATTAAGCCTCCTTCGCATCATTGCATTTAACCATAATTATATAGAGAGAGAACGTTTTCATTCAGTCACTAGGGACGGAAACGAAAGACAGTTTATTGTAGAATACTACCGAAACTGCACGCTCGCTTTCTAATAAGCTCTCTCTCTCTAATAAGTTATCTTTCTAATAGGCTCGCTCTCTAATAAACTCGCTCTCTAATAAGCTCACTTTCTAATAAGTTCGCTTTCTAATAAGCTCGCTCTCTAATAAGCTCGCTTTCTAACCCCCCCATTTCCAATTAATATTTGTTTTTATAGGGGCATAATTACTGTACCTCCACCAGGAAGTTATGTCTTCACCTGGATTTGTTTAACCATCAAACACTTTTTAAATACAAAAATTTGTGGACCTGTTTGTCTTGCTTTTCCGGGCTGAAACAATCTCGTGTTCTAGAATATCTAAACTGCGAACTCTGCAGACAATGCAACTACCTGAAGAATCCAGAGAAAATTTCGAACCTCGTCTGGAAGTTAGTAGGTAGTTGCATTAGTCAGGTAGTTACATCATATCCACAGTTCGCTGTTTGTATTCTTCGCTACCGACATCGGCACCAACCGTTCGAGATTTCTTGTATCTAAGCTTACCGCAGATTGTCCTTTTTCAATGATATCAAGGCTTAAGAAAACTCCGACGCCAACTTTAGTTTGCTCGAATTGGATCCTGGAGTTAGCGCTTCTATCGCGACGTTCCTGTGAGGTGCAGGGATAAGATGCTCGTTTCACTTCCTTTACAACATTTTCCCGCCTTTGTGTAACTGTGCAGCAGTGAGCTGACTTTACCAGTCTTGGCTGAACATGTTTTTCCGTAGGCGGTGGCTGAGGTTGTGAGAAAGTTCTAGGAATCATCCTTTCATTATATCCAGTCACGTTAGATAACCCACTAAGACGCGAGTAAGTGCCTTGTCGTGAATATGGCGTGCTGCTTGTTTCTGGGAACTCCGAACTGCAAAGTTTCTTTTGATTACGTCTTAAATTTACCCATTTCTTTCTCTGTGTTAAATCCAATAAACGAAGCACTTGACACCTGCCCTAATAACGATTAAAATTAAAGATTGTGTTTATCCATTCTCAGTTTTGCGTGATCACCCATGTTTCTACTAGCCTGCGTGGCAGGCTCATTCAATGAGCCTGCCACGCAGGCTATATGTTTCTACTTGTTGTTCAACTAAATAACTAATATGTCAATTAGTCAAATCTAGAAAGAGAAAAGGACCGGATTTTAAGTCCGAGCATTTTTTTCCGGGGACTTGAAATTTGGCCCAGTCCAAATTTGAGGTTTTGAAATGATATGTCATTCTTCCAAATCATTACCAGAAGAGTGGTGAATTAATTTTGATCCACTTTAAATTAAGTCCTAAGGACTGGATCAAACATACATTCACCAGCTATGGCTTGGTTCTACCTCTTTCCGAGGGATCCAACTAATTTTATACTTTAAATCAAGGTGATCATATTCTATAGAACAATTTATAAATGAACATACTTCGATGACAACGTAGAGCATATCTGTTTGTAGTAAATTGTTATCAATCACCACATTATTACCAAATTCCATGGAACGACTTTCCTCTGCAACTTTTTGAAGCACGTCCTGTGACCATGTTGAGAAAAGATCGTATTCTCTATACAATCAGATTTATCATTTTGAAGGAAATTAATGATTTCTACGATTTTACTTGTCGAGCGAAGACTTGGTAAACCAAATCATCTAGTCTCTTACTGCCCATTAAACTGCTGCATGTTTAAAGCTATTGCGCACGCAACCTGAGGAAAATAACCACATGAATACGAGGCCATTTGGACAAGAGTGCAATTAACAGTAGAGTCTATTGGACGTGTTGTGAAAGTTGTTTCTAGTTGGCGTACGTTTTCTTCCGATTCTGGCCAGCTACGTTTCATCCTGTGGTAACAATGGACTATATTCACTATAAGGAATAGCTCTAACTGCTTGTTGTCAGTAGCGTAGAAAGCCCGACGATTTAGTCCCGCTATGCAAATATTTTCGTGTTCATTGACTGTGAAAACAATCAATTTCTAAAGAAATGAATAATGATAATTTGAATTTGCATATAGCGGGACTAAAATAAAATAGTCGGGTTGGCTACGCCACTGCTTGTTGTGACTCTAGGGAAAACTGATGGAACTCATCGGATATAAAAAATATAATTATAGTATTCATCGTACCTCAAAAATTCTACTCTGATTTCCATTTCTCTGCGTAAAATATCAACAACTCCCATTTCAGTAAAATCCTCTTTTTCAATGTACAGAAATTCTGTTGTCTGAAGACAGACTATGGTTGCTGAACGTTTAACGTTTCTTATGAGAGCAAGTTCCTGCGAATGGTAAGAAAGATCAGTTTTCCTATAGTTGAACCATTGCCATGTTTTAAACCAAAATACCTCTACTCTAGTCTTCAACCGTATTTTGTTACACATACAGTATGATCAGTATTATGAGTATTATGTACCTTTCCTCGCAGTTCCGCACGTGTGATTCGATTCATGCAGTATTGATGCAGTTATCTGGTTATAATTTGCACGCCGTGATGGATGAAGAGTGCGTTCAGTTTCACTCTACCAATTTATACACTACAAGTTTTCACCAAGTGCATGAGACCTGATATTTCTTCCTATGGGACCAAAGGGACTGGAGACAGATCCGTCCCTGAATAGGAGATGACCCTGACTGAACTTCATAAGAGAACCATTTAGAACAGCTAGTGTGAAATCACAAACCAAGGAGAAATAAGGTTAGTTCAATTCAGATTTCCTCTTACATTGGACCAATGACCTTACTGGACCTCTCAATCCATTTAATATGAATAATGTTATAAGTTAAAACTATAGAAGAAAAACTAAATTCGTCAACGCGACGAACGTACCCCAAAGGCATCTCCTTTGCCTAAATTATAATACTCTGTAGGTCTTGAAAACACTTCACAGTCGTCTTTACTCAATGTGAAAGCCACAGTCCCAGAATAAATTATGTAAAATCTTCTGCCAACATGACCTTTGCGTATTATCACACGATGACGACCAAATCTACGAAAGAATGTTTTAATGATGTACCATGGTTAGTATCAAAGATGTTAGCGAATAACCTTGTAATTTCCTTCATGTAGTTCAGAATAACTATAGGACACTTCTTACTCTGCCACTACAAGCCACTCGAAGGTACAACGAAATCCGGTTTGAAATCGGATCCAACACCGGAGTTGTATACACCCCAATAATCTCCTATTATCATGACCATGTCTGAAGCGTATGTGAAGCAAATTAGTCTTTCTCACGCTGGGTGTATCTGCTATTGTGGGGATACTACCTCTCCCAGTTCTGAGAGTTAAAAACTGCGAAATACGAAATTTTTATAACTGTAGTTGTTTGTCTATATGTGTGATGGTAAATTTACAATTACAACTTTAAAAAGTTGCTTTTTACGTTGTTTACATTGTCTGACGTGACTATCTTATGATTTGGACTGGATTTATATAGCGAATCTTCGGCGTCACGTCACAAATTCCAAATATTCACTTGAACATTTACCTGTCATATCTGACTACTTTACACAAAAGCCGCTGTATTTCGGGTGTATAACGACGAAATTCCTTGAGCTGTTTAAGAATTTTGTTAAGTGTATCTATTTCTTTATCCGTTCTATCTCCAGGCGCCTTGAGAGCAATTTCTTTCGCCCATTTTGGAAAGTATCCCTAGGTTATAGATGACAATGTCAAATAATACACAGAAGTGACAGAACTGGTAATAGGTTATACACCTAGATGTTGTTATGATATCTAAACAGCAGTCGACGAATTCCTAATCTGGATCCTTGTACCCACTGAATATCAATTTCCCATCTGGCCTTGTAGCTAGGCTGTATGAAAATGTGATAGTGGAAGAATGAAGGGGTTCATCTTTTTCAAAACCTCAACACTTGATCGAAGAATACTGCCTAGTAGCTACCAAGTTTGAAATATTGTCAGATTTTGTTCTGCGAGAACGAGTATGTTGGAATGGCTAACATACTATAGGAATGTTTTTCTGGATTTAATCCGACCTGATTGCGGGATTATCATACATATTGCACAAAAAAGACAAATCGTCTCTACCTGGTAGTCTGTTTTGAATTGTTCTGGATCAAATGCTATATCTTGCTCAGTACGTAACTGAGCGTGGTTAACTTTGAGTCGCAGTCGTGGATCCGATGTGATTTTCTCATGTCCGCCTTTTTCCATTGCATATTTCAGGACGTTGACAAATACTGATCGGAGGAGCATTATCTAGAGTAATGTTTCATATATAATGTTTCATACATCTTCAGCGCGAACTAAAGATGGCTTGGCTCAGGGCACTATCTTGGAAACATTAGTGTGGAAACATTGTTTCCTAGCCATGTTTCCAAAAGGCTGAATGCATAAGCGTACGAGGCCAGAGGGGACGAGGAAGTTAGGCAAAACGAATGGGGAAATAAATTTAAGAACAAGAAATATGTAAGATAATAGTCTAAAATGCAAGAAATATATAAGGTTTCCAACCCCCCTCCCCCCTGTCGAATTTTTGAAAGTGTACACGGAAAATGTTTTAAAAATAAGTCGGGCAAAATCCAAAAAGTCGGGCAAAATCCAAAAAGTCGGGCAAAATGCAAAAAATTCGGGCACATATCTTTCTGCCCCCTTAATTTTTCCCAACGCCTTTGGACGAGGGTATGTCAACCATGAAAACTGTTTTCTAGCCATGTTTTCTGAAGGTCGGTTTCCCGAATACCAGAAACCATTGTTTCCTAGCCTGGTGGACAAACCTGGAAACAATGTTGTTCATCGTGTTCCTTGACCTTGGCCACAAAAGTCATATCGTATTCCTTGGCCATAAAAGAAATCGCCCGGTCGCACTAACCGAACTGTGGCGAACTTGGCTATTATTTCATTACATAATCATAAAACAATGAATGAAATCTCTGAACAATCTCTTTACCTTCGTGACAACGTTCTTAAATCTTGCAAGTAGTAACTGAAAAAAATTGAAAAAGTTAGATGTTTGCGGATTTGCATCGAACTTTTACGGCTGCCTTTAATCTTCAGACATTTATTTATTAAGCTCGTTTTTTATTATGGTTTGTCCGCGCGGTGACCAACTAGAGCATGTCCGAGCGACTGGTTAAGGCCCATTTTCAAGAAAAATTTCCACGGACAGAAAATTTTCCGAAAATGTCATTATTAAAAGTTGAAATTTTTCAACATCAAAATTTTTTTCCGACGGAAAATTTGTGTCAGCTAATCAAATCGTACAAAATTTTCTTTCCGGGGAAAATTTTCTTGAGTGGAAATGGGCCTTTACTCATGTGATTCGATCTGATTGCACCAACTTATATAACCGTAAATTTATTTTTTTTATTTAAACACTTTGTTACAGCCATTTTCTCCAAGAGCATCGCTCATCAAGGGAGATTATGTCGGATTATTTACAAAGTTACTTACATCAAAACAAAGAGGATTACATAAAAAAGGATTACATCAAAACAAAGATCGAATAATCATGGTGTGGAAGAACATCTGGTATTCATTCTCAAGCTTTCCATGAAACAACATATTGTTATATATAAGAAATTTATATGGAAGAATTTACCACACCAATGTTTTACAAAACAAGTTTAAAAAAAGTTACTCGGCCTGAAACCGCTTTGTATTTAGAATAAATAATTGGACATTTTGCATTAATTTTACATTATCTTCATGCTCAAGATTTTCCGATCCATGCAAAAGTATTTCAATTTTCCGATTCTCTGATAAATTCATCCACATAGGAATGATAGGATGGAGCAGCCGCGCAGAAAGTGAGAGCAATTGTTCACGTTGGGCAGCAAATCGAGAACAATATAAAAAGTAATGTTTGACAGTTTCCATTTTACCCCATCGACATTCACAAAAAGGGGAATTTGCACAACTAATTCTATATAGGTGAAAATTAAGCGCACAGTGACCAAGCCTGAGCCTGGTATGCAGTATTGAGCTATACCTACTTAGTGATGCATTGTATTTTACGTTATATTTTTGTCCACAATACATATTACATGAGGTAATTTTAAAGCAAGACAGCGTTTCTATATTTCGTAAATCCTGATCAAGATCATTCCAGGCAGTTATTGCTGATGGCAAGAAAGATTTTTTAAATCGTTCAGTTCTCACAAATATATTAGTTAAAGTGTCGTTAGATCTTAGAAAATAACTGGATCTTTGGTTTATATATGGAGGCAAAAGATCACAAAGGTAGGATGGTGCAGTGTGGGTATTTTATGAAAAAAGGATAGTTTATGAATATGTCTCCTAGTTTTTAAATCCTCCCAACATAGTTCTTCCAATAGACGATTTCTATTTGTTCCCTTATTGCATAATGCAGTAACAATGCGAGCTGATTCGTACTGGACTGCTTCTAAAAGATTTGCTTCCTCTACACTACATCCATCCCATATTACATCTGCACATTCCATTAAAGGCCTAATCAGACTTTTATGAAATTTTAGTAACATGAATTTATTAAATTTTATAGTCGATTCGGGACCAGCCGATAAATTGGAATCCGTACGATTGTCCATGCCAGTTTTAGCTAGTAGTGTTAGATGGATGCCTTGGATGGACTTAAATCTTAATAGTTAATATGGGATTCGAGTTCTGTTGTCCAATCCTTCAATCAATATGTGTATTTTTAACATAATATGATTGTAAAGTTAATAAAATATTGCTTTCCGAGTTCGAATGAACTAATCAAGATGGGGGCGCGTATAAATTACGCATGAACCAGCTCCGGCTCAACCTCGTTTCCAGGATCTTCTCCCCAGGGTCAGAGAATAAGGAAACGCCAGGGTCTTCTTCGACATCACGAAGAAGACCCTGGGGACGAGGTTGGCTCCGGCTAACCGTACGAATGCACCCGGAAAGTGTTCATAGTTTGGCTATACAGCCTCGTTTTCGTGATTGAGATTTAGAGCCTTTTGTCTTGTTACATGTGACAGATTTACGAAATCATACAGTTATATCAGTGAACATAAAGACTAGCTGTTTATAATCATTTCATCACAAGCAAGGAATGTCTCAATCACGGAAACGATGCTGTCTAGTCAAGCAATGAGCACTTTCCGGAAGGGTGTATTCCATAGGTGCATTCCCGTGTGAAAGAGGAGCCAAACAAATATCCGCTATCGTGTTAACGTTTTTATACCTCTCGTGCAATTTGTCGTTCCTCTTCACTTTCCTCCTGGTCTGTGTTTTCTGGAGTATCCATGTCAAGTGAATATCTCAGTTGTCTGACATATCGCGTGGATTGTAAAGACTTTTTTCCACGACTACGCACGGTCATTAATGACTTGACTGTTTTCCAGTTCTTTTCGTACATTTTAATGTTTAGTTTTTTTCCAGTTTCCCATGTCACCGTACGGACATTTGCAGACTGGTCGTTCCAACTGAATACGCTGTCGCTTTTTCCTCTGTCTTTCTTATTCATTTTTCGTTCTATATCTATTTCTTGTGTTTTCAGGTTAGTTTTCTATTTTCTTTTACTTCCTATTTACAACCATTTTTTTAAACATGTGCTGCGCGAATCACGGAGCAATATAACAACATATCTGACGTCAGCATAACGGTCAAATTGTATTGACATAATTAAGTTGATGGCGTGATTGGTTAAAGTTAGCGCGTGCACACTTTTGCCCATTTCTGTTCTTTGCTACTTGTAATTTTTCTTTAATTTATGTTATGTTTGGCTGGATAAATCATAGATATATGGGAAAAATGCATCGGAAGCCATTTCCTGCTCGGGAAGAAATTCGTTCATCTCACAAGCTACAGCTAGTACATAGCGATATGTGTGGTGAGTGGTAAAAATTTCATAAAATTTGATAGGTATATTTTATTTTGGTATAAAATTTAAAAAGGTTTCTTTGAAATTAAAAATTTTCCCAGCTGTTAAAAATTAATAGATACCCGCCCCACTGTGCGATCGCGGGCGCGGCCCATTCAGATTTTGACATGAAATTTTTATGATTTTCAGAGCGACGTCCGTTTTCGTCGATCTTTACTGATTGAGGATGAGTAAAACACCAGTAAGACAACTAACTGAATACTTCAGTACGCCGCTAAGTGCTGTACTTCAAGGTTCTGAAAAGGACGTGAATTTACAAAGTGCTTTCTACAATGTCGCTGCATTTCTGTTCATATCTGTTGGGCTTGGAGCTGCAGTTGCAGCTTATTTTGTCTTAGAGGCTTTTATTAAACCTTTATTATGGGCTGTACTCTGTGGAGCATTCTTATATCCATTCAAAAAGACGTTATCAACATTTGTTTGTACATGGCTAAGGTCACTGAGTGACTGTAACACCCCATTGGTTATGGGTGTTGCTTTATTACCATTTCAAATTTTGAATGAAGTTTCAGCAATTGTTGGTTTCTTCATATTTGATCATATCTGGGAGTTAATATCATTAACATTGACCTCGTTTGGGTTATATTTACTCTATCTCTATCAGCCATTTTATGAGATATTCATGATTATCAATGGAATGGGAATGTTCGTATATCAAGCACTCGATTATTTTTCTAATCCAGTGTGGGTAAGGAAAGAACTTGAGCAGTCGCTATTTTTTGTCATTAATGTAGCTGTTCATATTTATGGTGTCAGCAGTTCTAGCTTGAAATCATGCAAGAATAGCAATCTGTGCAATACAATCTGTGCAATACAGAATGCTGTTTTTAGGGTTTGTAATCCAAGTGAGTATATATACACTTTAAGACCTGACTAGGAACGACTGCGAAAAATGCAGCACAAGGTCCTCTGGTAGGAATTGAACCCACGGCCCTGCGATTCCGGTGCATTGCTCTAACCAACTGAGCTACAGAGGCCAGCTGTTGAGCTGTAACTGTAAGTTCATGTATATAGGTTGTGATAAGGTGGACTTCAATGATCTGGATTATTGCACTTCACTTGGTGGAATTAATATTAGAATGCTGTTTTTAGGGTTTGTAATTAATCCAAGTGAGTATATAATATATACACTTTAAGACCTGACCAGGAACGACTGTGAAAAATGCAGCACAAAATTCCAGTGCAGCCCTCTAACCAGTTGAGCTACAGAGGCCAGCTGTTGAGCTGTAACCATAACTTAAAGTGTATATATACTCACTTGGATTACAAACCCTAAAAACAGCATTCTAATATTAATTCCACCAAGTGAAGTGCAATAATCTGTGCAATACACCCTTTCGATAATTACGAAAGGGTGTATTTGTCAATTTCATGGCCAGGGTGCATTTAATATAAAAGCCGTGCTGAGGATACTGTACACCAGCATTTGAACACAGAGTAGATGGTTCATACAGAGGTGGAACTGGCCCAGGGGCGCCGGAAGCAACATGAAGCGGCGGGGGCAGCCATTTAAAAAGGGCACTTACTCTTGAGCCTTAAATTTTTTTTGGGGGGGGGGCAATGTTCGTTAACATTTTGCTGTATAACGGATACTTCATTTCTTGTAGCTAATACAGTTAGACAAATTTCGGCATAGATTGGAACATTTTTATTCGTTGCATGACACTAAAGACTAAAATGTATTGTCAAGCAACATGAAAGTTGTCAGTTATTTAGGAAGGCTTTCTTTTCCCCTTTTTTTCATAGGTGGAAACTGACTGGTAACGTTTCTGAGAGGATTTCAGATTCAAATATGAGCTAAATTATTTAAAAACAGTTTTCAATTTCAATTCCTGTGAAAAACGCACGACGTTCGAAGTGCAGTTCTGGTAAAAAAGGCAACCTGCTGCCCCTGTGCTGCCCCCGCACTATTTAGGCAACAGGGGCAGCTGCCCCCATGGCTCCTTTGAAAACAGTTCAGAAGCTTACGTTTTCAAGTACCCACCTTTTTCAGGTGGCCAGGCGAAAAATGATCAACTGCGCATGCTTGGCAAGTTCCGTGAACAGTTAAAAGCGAGCCGCCATCCAATGGGGATGCATGCCTCTAGTAACTTGCCGAGCATGCGCACAACAAAAATGGGTACACTAGTTACAACTCTGTATGTATCTACTCTGTGATTTGAACAAGGTCATGCTCATGCAAAAGTTAATACGGTTTCTCAATCTCCACATGATAAAATAATTTCCAATCCACTTAGTTAGATATAAATTGTACTATTGCAGACATTTGCACATGTTTCAGCTAGGCAAATTGACAGCTTCTTATGAGTTTAATTTATTTTTCTACAATATGTTAACTTGGCCATAATTGAGTGCCAGCGCTGTCCCCTTGATGAGTAAAATTGTCTGCTGTTAGACAGAGTGAAATCATAAAGGATGTATTGAGACCTGTGTCCTGTGCAATGCAATTACTCAGTGGGTTAATCAGTTATGTAAATTTGGCAGGGTTTATTTTATAACGTGCAGTTCTACACAAAATGTGCAGTTCTAAACCCATTTGTGCAGTTCTTAAAACACAAATGTGCAGTCACCAAACTAACAAAAATAGCCTTAATTAAAACAGTCTTCTCATTTACTCATTACCCTTGCGGATGCTCCAGAAAATTCCAGAAATGCTGTCATTAATTGAGCATCAAAAATATAAACGTTTTCTGGGGGAGGACTCCAGACCCTCCTATTCTCCTCACAAATCACTTACGTGTCACAGGGTAATAGAAAATACTAGCTAAAATTGGGGCGAGCGAAGCTCCCCAAAAGAGATTAGAGTGGGAGAACCTAATATTCTTTGCTGCTTCAAATGCAGATTTAAGGTTGTTATATATTGAGTATCCATGATTCTCACTTACATGTTTTGAAATAGTTTTTGTGAGTTGTTGGATAAAACAAATCTTTGCCAGAACTTAAGAGCCTCTAGATTCAAATTGTTTTGGGGAACACCCCCTAGCTCCCGCACCCAAAATCGAGTTTCTCTGGCCTTTCTCCAATTCTCCCTCCCAACCACACCATTATTCTGTCACCTACATGCAGGTAAAAAA